GTGCCATGGCTTTTCGGTCTCGTTCTTCGCTCGCTGTCGACAGACTTGGACTTGGACGCAGATTTGTCTCCGCAAGAGGGACTGGTTTCTCGCCGGTTTCTGTTGCCACTTTATACACTTTTCTGACCGACACCCACAGAGCTTCCACCAATCACCGTGAAGCACGTCACCTACGTCACATGCAAACCAACCGACTACTCCAGATCCTCAGAACAAGTCACCAACGCTTGCCATGCGGCCAATCAGCTACTACAGACGTTGACTTTAACCACGCCCCCACTTCATGATGCAATCCCGACGGTCCCGCTGTCATGTTGAATAGCTTACTGTCAAAGTAACAATGTCGGTAGGCGTGGTATCATCCTTCAAAAATCGTTGCCTTGACAACAGGTTTCCCAGGTTACCGGGGTCAAAAGTGCACACTGACCTTTATCTGACCCGCAATTTAGCTCATTAGCTAAAATTTGCATACATTCGTCTACATTTGCATACATATGCATATCCTTAGCATAATGACGGTGACCTCTGACCCGCACCGCCTCGCACCGCCTCGCACCGCCTGAATAATATGAATCAGCGTGTCGACTATATACTACTCCCATTATTTAAAGGATTTCTTCTGGTCCTTCAGTGAAAACGGTCTATAGATACCATGCCAGTCCTCAAGTCGCACTTGTAAGGGCAAACAATAATAAAGACCATTTTTAAGGGAACGAAATGAACAAAATGGCTCTGGCCCTTTTTGGTGTAGAAAGTAAGTGAGACTTAATTAAAACCAAAATAGATCTTCAGAATACAAGATCGTGGGCAAACGCGCGCGCGCACACACACACACACACACACACACACACGCAATCACATACACGCACACAAACAAGCACGCACGCAAAAACACACACGCAAATTCACATATACACTCACCCACACACAGAGGGGGAGAGTGAGAGAGAGAAAGAAAGAGAGACATCTTATTCAAGCAATAAGGTCACGGGGAGATGTAGAGAGAACTTGGCTCCTTTTAACAACTTAAACTGTCAATAAGCGTGACCATATACTGCTGTTGGTGTTTCACGGTGTCTACCATTAATACCCACCTTCTTCCGTAAGTACAATCGGCTGCAGGCTGTTACTGCTGGTGACCTGGAGCGCGGGGTCAAACCTGCCGCTAGTGATCGCCTGCTGAAGGTTCGTCCTAGCCATATCCTGGATGATGCTGTCAGGTTGAGATTCTTCCACGGCGAAAACAGCGGCGTATCTGGCCTTTACACTACCCTCGCTAAAGATTAAAAACAAAGATGAAGCAACATACTTGCCAAAGGGCAACATAGCATCCCATGCAAGTAACTGCATGTGTATGCTATAATAGCCCAGAAATGTTTTGGATCTGGTAACTGGTCTAGGTGTCTAAAGTTAGCATGATTACTGGTAGTAGTGTCTGAAATTTCTATGAATTAAAAGTTGCATACTACAATATAATGGAATGGAAAGTAACATTGCCCCTACTTACACTAATTGGATGATGATAATCTCGATGAACCCAGGAATTCCGGCGTAGATGGCAGAGAGCTAGCGGTAATGACAAAAGATCAACCTAAGTTATTATGAATATATATACTAGATGTATGCAAACCAAACGACCTATGGTACTAGCGAATAACCTTTAAATTGAAAATGGGGCGTGTCATGTAATGATAGGGCTTCTGGGTTGACAGCTAACAACACCACCTTAATTCCGAGTTACCTTAGTTACGATGATCTAACGACATTTAGTACCACGAACTCAACATGCAATACAGATTGAAAGAGTTAGTGGAAAGTTGATATGCTGGACACACAAACAAGTAATTCTGTTCACTTACTGATGTTTTCAACTGTGATGATAATTCCATGTACTCTGCTGAAGTCTTGTCATTGTATTTAGCACTAAACTTCCTCTCCATTGTTATTTGGGCTGGTACAAATTTTCGTGGTTTTGCTATGAAATACCAACATTCAGACGTCCGTTAGTTAAAAAAATAAAACAATAACACGAATCGGTATAACATATTGTGGTTTTCATGTGAAAATGTAGAATTTAAAAATTGAAAAAAATACAAATGTCTATGATAATAAAACGTACCAACCATTCCTACAAATTGAAAGCAACTGAAGTACACAATAAGGATGATATAAAATGAAATAATTTTTGGAACTCACGCGGCTCTGGAGTGGCAGTCATTGATGTTGGTGTTGTTGTTGTTGTTGGAGTTCGGGTGCTTTCTGTTGTCACTGCTTTAAGTATGGTTTATATAAAGAATTATTTTAATATCCTTTTTTTAATTTTTATTTACTATCTTTTACAATTTATCTCAAGCACAAATCGTATAAAATGTTAATTCACAGAACTTTGAAATTGTTTATGTATTCTGTTTTCATATTTTTTGGCAATGATACAAGTCATTACTTGTTTCAGCGCAGGCAGGTCAATTGAAGATGGCTGACCGTCATGACTTCAGCAAAGTACAGTATATATTGGCCACAGCAAGTAAATTCTATGGATGACATCCTCCGTAGACTTTAAATCTTATGCGATAGGCAAAAATACAAGACGGGCCAAAACAAGATTCCTACATTTTACAAATTGTGACGTTATGAACCTTGTTAAACAAGAAATTATACCATTGTACATTCAATCATTGCACACGTGGTTTTGATTCAGTGGGAACATCACACATCAAAGCCTTGTCTTGTCTCCTCTCGTCATATTATAAATCCCTGTTAGAAGTCAACAAAATTTCTTGTCTTTTGTTTTCAAAAATCAGGCGAAAACCAATGCGCGCTCTGATGTTATCCGTAGAAACTATTTGCTGTGTCCTGATACAAAATGAACAAGTAGATACGAATCTACACATCACAATTCAAACAGAATGAAGCTTTGCAAAACCTACAACAATTACGTTTTGTTCCCAATGGAAATGACCACAGAACAAACTATACGTTAGTGTCATTTAACTCTGCCTATACTGGTATACATGGGGTAAATTCAAACAGTTTACACATCTTTAGTCATCATGTATACTTGCTTAAAATCTGTGCCCTACACAAATCGTACCAATTGATGATTCACAGAAATTTCTAACATACAACTTATTAGGTCATGCCAAGCAAATATTGTATCAAACTGTGAAAATTCTCTCACCTGTACAGACCGTCCCATCTCCAAAGTAACCAGAAAGACACGTGCAGCTGTATGAACCAGGGGTGTTTGTACAGTCTGCGTGGTCATGGCAGTTGTCAATGCCGTCCTCACACTCATGGACATCCACACAGTTACTCCCGAAGTAACCAGGCTTACAGGGACAAGTGAAGGAACCGACAGTGTTCGTACACATCGAGTTTTCTGTGCAAGTGTCTGTGCCTTCTCTACATTCATCTTCATCTGAAATATGGTAAACCAAATTATTAGCATCAGCGTCATCAGAAATGCAATATTTTCTGTGTCAATATATTACTTCCAAAAAATGAATTTTTAAGGGAGTGGAAAAAGTCTATCCAGTTGTATTTTGGAAACGATAAGGTCATTTTGATTTGATTGTGACACCACTTATGTCTGATGAAAATACTACAGAATATTACTATAGAAATTACATTCATCATAGAAAATTGTAATGGTTTATAAATTAAAATTACATACGTCAATATAAAAAGTTAAGGGAAACAAACATTATGTAATGAGTCCCCCGAAGAAAAAAATGTGTTACAAGAGTGGAGGAAACATGAGGTGTTCTAGAATTTTAAAGCTAAAAAAACTCTTGATGAAAGAAAATAATGGAAAATAAATGTTAAGTGGTATAAGTTATTCAACAGACAGTATTCGTCTGTGTGGCAGAAAAAAATACCCCAGCTTACCTTCACAAGACGTCCCGATGCCTGTAAAACCAGTATTGCAGGAGCATACATAGCTGCCCTCCGTGTTTAGACATGATGCCTGTCCATGGCAGTTATTTTGCCCACTTAAACACTCGTCCACATCTGGCAGAAGATATGTATAAGCATTTGAGCATTTGGAATGTTATTCACTGTTGAAAACAAGTTAAGGGTGCATATAGATAATACAAAATTACCAGTTTCCATACAGATCAGTCATATTAACACGATCAAGGTTTTAACTCTTACTTATTAATCATTAATTACATTTAAGTAGTGAGTCGTACATGACCAGTATGGAGAAATAGAGCATATGATGGGATTGGGAATGATGTTAGGATTAAAGATAGAGAATAAAATTTTAAGACAAAACGCTTTATGCTCTTAGAAGTTTTCTGAAGGCATCCGTATTTTCTTCAACTATAAAGAGTTGAATCGTGGCCTGGAAATAAAGGTCACACACATCACGAGTGCTTACCTGTGCAGGTTCTCCCTGTACCGATGTACCCATCATCACATGTGCAGGTGTAGGAGCCAGCAGTGTTGGTGCAAGTTGCATTTCCATCACACTGACTAATCCCGTCTTCACATTCATCAATGTCTTGAAAAGAAATTTACAAGAATATGTACTTGTCAGTCATTGAAACATAATAATCCTCATCATGTTGGTAATCCTTAAAGAAATGATTTTGCAAATCCTTCAGTGATGCAAATTGATAGTCATTACAGCTAGGCATTGCCTGTACAGCATCATCATTTACATACTATACTATACTGTGTATATATCGTTACATGAATAACACAGATCTTTAATAAGGGATATTAACCAAACCACATCAAATGTTTTCAATGTTATCATTCAGCGGTATTACAATGTTGACTGATTGCTGAGATGTCACCCTAATTATATTCCCCCATGTTGTTTTTAAACGGCACCATTAAAGATCGCCAGGTATTTTTACCGGACGAGGTTAATCTATTTCATGTACCTTCACATACTGTTCCGGTGCCGTTGTACCCATCTTTGCAGGTACATTCAAAGCTGCCCAGGACGTTTGTGCATACTGCTTGGTCATGGCAGTGTGAGGAATCACCGGTACACTCATCCACATCTATGGACAATACCATTAAACATACCAATTGTCTGAATTGTTTTAGAAAATTTATTGATTATCGTTATTTTGTAAGCCAAAATAACATATATTTACATCATACCTTTTTTTTAATTTTAAAATGTTCACTTTGTGACAAATTAATGGTGGAAGCAAAGAAGACCTTACCGGCACAGAAGAAGCCGTCTCCTGTATACCCGTCCCGACAGGTGCAGTTGAAACCACCATTGAAGTTGAAACACTGAGAATTCGCACTGCAATTCTCAATTCGACTGCCGAATATGCACTCATCGTAATCTGCGTCAAAATTGACACATAACAAATTACACCATTGTCTTGAGCTATTTCTATGACTTCACAGCCTTCCAGACAGCTTTTTTTCGGAGCGATATAACTCAACGATTTGAACCGTGCGCCTTTACTTTTCATAGAAACACCGAGCGTATGAAAACTTGCATTCCCGATAATGTTTATATGATGCAACGCTTAACAGTCATATCATGACTGTATTCTTGTTCTCTGATGATGATTTCTATGTACAAATACTTATTTTTCCAGAGATAACAAGTTATTAAACGTTCAATACGATTATCTGCCTTTAAAGTGATTGCACTGATGCTTCTAGTTTTTTCAGTGCTGGTGCACCAAATTCGTTGGACTTGCGAGCATCGGTAAGTCAAAAAGTCAGCCTGGGGCCGTACCTCATTTTTGTAATTTAAACGTTTTTAGAACCGCTTTGGTTGAATTCAATAGATCTGTGATACAGTAGGGATCAGAACATCCGACAGACGCCACTCTCATGGTACATGGTAAGGTATATTGATTTTGCTCGTAATGTTACACATTTTGCTCAGAATGTTAAGTAAACGTACCTTCACAGGATGTCCCATTGCCGATGTAGCCCTGTCTGCAGCTACAGGTGTACCCTCCCTGGTTGTTGTTGCAGAAGGCATTGGGATCACAATCGTTCAGGCTGCTGTCTGAACACTCATTAATATCTATCAAAATGTTGAAAAACGTTGTTTTTTTTAACTGAGCATTTAGAATATGGCAACATTGGATCATACCCATGCCAAAAAATTAGAGACAGAAACATCTCCTAAACCTTGAAAAAGATTACTGATATGGAAAATGTAGTTAACTTTTATACGATTAACATTGAAAACAAGCAGTAAAACAGATAAAAAATCAATCTCCCTGTTATTGTCGGTTGCATGTTGGAGAAAACAAATACAAGTATGATATCTCACCAGTGCATGCTCGACCATCAGTACCAATCATGTAGCCACTGTCGCAACCACATGTGTAACCTCCGTTTGTGTTGTTACACAGCTGGTCGCAGGTATTCAGGGTGTCACTTGAACATTCGTCGATGTCTGTGATACAAACAATTTCACCACATGTACGCATACCTCAGTATAATTTTCTATACACAATATTTTCAATCAAAATTTGCCGTCATTATGCACGTATTAGAATTTTTTATGCTGAACTAAATAGGCACATTGCTAATTGAACTTTGCTAATCACATCTACTAACTGTACACTTGAGGGCTTGCTTCCTTTCTGTGTGTGTGTGAGAGTAAACATGAATCATTAATTGTTTCGGTTAGTTTTTGACATGAATTCGTAGTCCAGCAAAAATGTTATACTCTGTCCTTGGTATTGAACTGCTATCATCAGGCTTACCAGTGCAAACTGTGGCATTGTTGGTGATGTTGTAGCCAGAAAAACACAGGCATCTCTCGATTCCATTCTTCACAAAGCAGTCCGCATTCGTGCAGACGGTTCTGGTGCAATTTACAGAGGCTGAAAAGAAAAACTTGTTGAATCATTCTATTACAGAAAACTTTTATTCAAGTAATTGCATAAATTTTGAAAACTGCCAAAACGTTTCAAGTAACAACAACTAAGTTTGGTCAGTAGTGGATACGGATACTACTTGGAGCGTTTACCATACATGAATGTTCAACTATACATGTACAACCATACAAAGCCCTCGGAGAATATACAGTCAGATACAATTATATATATGACCCGAAAACATAATTTTTTTTCTAGTCTACTTGTAAAACCCAATACCCATGTTACCAAAAAGTTACCTTAGCAGGCTGAATGTTAAAGGTGGAAAAGTTCATTACCTTTACAGGAGTCCCCAACTCGAACGAATCCTGGGACGCACGAGCAGTTAAACCCACCGTCTGTGTTTGTACAGGCTTGTTCACAGTCATCCAGCTGTTCTGCACACTCGTCAATATCTATACCAATACGTTGTTGTTGTTTATTAATTTAACCAGAAAAAAACATATTGCCTATTGGTGGTTTGGAAATTCTTGCGACCAAACCCCAAACTGAAAGTACATAACCTTATCAAAGTAGTAAGATGTCAAAAGAAAGGTCAATCAAAAATAGCTGAAGCTTAGTGAACAAGTTGAGATCTTGAATAATAAATTATGGGATGGAAGAAAAATGGTTGTCCAGACAACAAATCATATTGATAGATGGTTAAACAGAACGCCAAAATAAAGCTAAATATAGCTAACTTTGCACAGGGAAGTGAAGGAGGTCTAAAAGTTCCACGGTATCAAATTTGTCAACTTGACAACTAGCCAAATTTCATACCGTGCTTGCAATTGAAATTATTATTATTATTATCATTGATTTGAATTAATCTAAATATAGAGTAAAGTACTGAATGTTATTCTAATCTTGCATTATAAACAATCGCAAACTCATTTCAAATGTCTGATCTACGTGTTTAATCATAGGGTAAAATGTACGAACATGTTTTTACCATCACACTTGAAACCATCGACCGCTAGCCTGTATCCATCCTCACAGCTACAGGTATAACTTCCATCAGTGTTGGAGCAGTTCATAGAGCATTTACCGTTGTCAGTCATACACTCATTCACATCTGTGGAGAATGAAATATACACATCAGTTTCTTCCTCACCGATTCTTAATTTTTTGATGGCCATATCCATTCATTTTCTTAACAATCCTTTTAACCTCTTTTTTACACGACTTTGTCCATTTATTTCGTTGTAATATTACACCTTTTTCTGTCGCTGCCACAACATACAAGCTAAATAAGGCAATGAGCTATACTCGAGCGACCAATGATTAAAGCTTGGTGTGTTCCTACCTGTGCAGTGCATACCGTCTCCTTCGTAACCATTAAAACATGTACAGTTGTAGCCTCCAATCAAGTTGGTACAGACGGCTTTTGTGTCGATGTCACAGTCAGCTTCTCCCCTTACACATTCATTAATATCTGTAGCAATGAAATGTAATTATATGCACTAGTGTACCAATTAACCAACAAATCATCTCTGTTGTAACATTCATAGTAATCAATCTAGCTTCATATGATATGCAGGTTTATCTACATTTTCTTATGTATTCTTACAAAAATATTGTGCAGAATGGCAGGTGGAACTATGACTCCTTTCTGTTTTCAATAAAACGTATTTGTTCCTTAAAGTAAGCAGTTTCTACTAAAAGTATAAAAGGTGATCACTAGCGGTATTGCCACATGGGATGTCTTCTTTAATATGAAAGGGAATTATGAGTAATGAAACGATTGCTTTCTAGAATGTAACTGCAATCTCCTCAAGATGATGATGATTCTTACACGTTTTTCTTACATTAGGAGAAATGTAAACTGCTTACCTTCACACTGAATCCCATTCCCGACGAATCCCGCGTTACACGAACACGTGTAAGATCCCGGAGAGTTTGTGCAGGTTGCCTCCTGAGCACAGTTATCTATAGCACTTTCACACTCGTCGACATCTATATTAGACAAAAAAAAGAAAGGTATATGTAATTCACACGATAGACTATACGCACTAAAGGTAATACCATCACAATTTTAGGCCGCAGGGGCAGTAGGTTGTTTATTGACTAAGCCACGATATTAGGAAGTGGAGCCCATCCCTCTCCTTCCATTGCCTTCAACCTCCCCAGCTAAAGTCGGTACAAATTTTTTACACCTGGGTGGAGTGACGAAAGTAGTGTAGATCGAAATACCCTTTTCAAGGACACGGCGTCCTGCCAGTAATTGAACCCGTGACCTCTCGATCTCCTGCCCGGTAGCCTAGGGTCTTGGTGATTGGCGCCACCACATGGGCACAATACAAATATCACAAGTATTCTTTCTTTTAAAAATTTGACTTAAGAGTGAAATCTTTATAACTTACCAGTGCAAGTGACTGTACCGATCCCTTCATACCCATCGGTACACAGGCAGTTATAAGAGCCCTCCGTATTGGTGCAATCCGCGTTCTCAGTGCAGTTGTGGAGAGCAGCATCTGAACACTCGTCAACATCTGAAGTCACCGTTATATTAATTAGATATCTAAATATTGGTATCAGTATTACTGTCTTACACAAACATCTTGTCTTCATCACTCGATTATTGTTTAACTAACCAAGTGATATGACAACGCATGATCTGCCAACTATATGACAATGGCATTTCGTCGAAGCAATAAATTTAAAGTTGCATTTTGGATAATGTTTATTGCAAAAAACATCAACTGGTATTGCCCGTTATTCGATGATTCTGGGATTTTGTAGTCAATGAGCTGATTAAAGAAAGTTAAAGTTTGCTCCGCGATATGCCATCAGGCACTTGAGAAAATAAGGTCTAAGGTAAGGTAAAGTAAGTAAATGTCATGTTGCAACTAATGGTGAACTGTTCACAAAAAAATGAAATGGTATAAAATAGAAGGTCTATCGCAATGGCCATATTACGTGTATTTATCACAGCGTTTGCTAGACAATGCAATGTACCAGGTACATTAAGAAATAACGTTACTGCGCAACATGTGTACAAGTTACAGCGTCTGGTACCTACTGCTAAATAACCATAAACATACCATGAGGCTAATCTACCTTACAAAAGACTAATTCAATCGGGATGGGAATGAAATCATTAGAAAAATTACACCAGGTGTACCTAAAAAAAACATCGAAACCGTAACAAACCTTGACATGTGATCCCGTCTCCTTCATATCCACCCCTACACGCACAGCTATAGGACCCAGGGTTATCTGTACAGATCCCCTGCCCCGGGCTACAGGTGTCCAGTAGCTCTTCACACTCATCCACGTTGGTGCACACTGCCCCCTTGCGGCGGTAACCAGAATTGCAGCTGCAGCTGTAGGAGCCGATGGAGTTGGTACATCTTGCATTTGTGTGGCAGATGTCCGGATCAACACACTCATCTTTGTCTTTAAAGGATAAGATCAACGAATTTGAATGGTTATCAATACTACAGGGATGATCCTTAATTGCATATTCTTTCCCACATGGAGGCCAAAAACATAGTAGTTATACAACTGCTACCGAGTCTAAATCTAAAGTACCATTACCCTTAATGATTAAAGAATGAAAGACGTTTATTGTACATTTTTGCTCGTTGGGAAATAAGTACAGGTCACGGCAAATAGCGATGGTAAACTAAAATATATCTATAGTAAAACTACATATGTACAGGTTCTGCTTCTTCTCGCTTCTTAAGACAGTTGTAAGTATAAAACATATGAAGCTTATGGTACGGGGATTATTGAGTTTCATGAGGAATGTGAATTTTTCTTTTAAATGTAAAAATCTAAAACTATAAATAACTTGCATACAATTGAAGAGAATCTTTATCTTATTATCATATAGAGTACAGTGCAGAAAAAAATGACCTATCTTCAATCTCACTTAGGTTACAGTAATGACAAATTCTTTGTTGCAGGGGAATATGGTAGTGTCTACATTTTTCAACAAGAAGTTTGTTTGAGCTAATCCGAAGTCTTGTAGTGGCTATTTTGTGCCGCAAAAATAGTTTTCCTCGTTGTATGTAGTTTTAAGTAATCTGTATGTTCGTAGTTTGTTGTTGTTACGAATTTCTGCTGTAAAAGTTTGGAAATACATGTCCTATCAAGTTTGTCAAAAGGAAATAATATTGGATCATGTTAAAACAACTGTCCTACTTTCTACTTATAAAATTGTATCGTAAGACATTCAGCTTCAGAAGGACAGTAACAACGAGTAGATACAACTTACCCTCACATCTGCGTCCACTGCCTTCATAGCCAGCCTTACATGTGCATGTGTAGGATCCAACAGTGTTGTCACATACTGCATTGCGATCACAGGAGGCACTAGTCGTACATTCATCAACATCTGAAAAAGGATAGAGAGGAAATGATTTATACAATGATTAACATAGTATTCGCTTGTTTCTGTTTCCAACATTTGGAGTTATTCTGATCTCATTATAGGTTAACATGAAATAGATTTCTAACATTGGGAGAAAACGTGTGTAAGAGGGTTCAGTATTTAACAACCGAGTAAAAGGTTTTTGCATATAACGTTTCGGTGACTGTCTGTCACCTTCTTCTGAACAGCAATCACTGGTTCTGATTCCTATACAGTCTTACAACAGTCTCTTGCAAATACAGTCAAGTTATTCATTGTTTCAGGAAATGTTTTATAGAAAAGGTATAAGGTAAAGTAATCACCTGCGCAGTAGGTCCCATTGCCAGTATATCCGGTAGTACAGGTACAAGTAAAGCTGCCCTCTGTGTTGCTGCATGTTGCCTCAACTGCACAATCAGCTGTGCTAATGTCGCACTCGTTTATATCTAGAGAAAAATTATACGATTTATATTGTATTTCTGCCTGTGAAAAAAGAATGAGATGTATTTACAGTAAAAACAAAGTTCAACTGGACACAAAGATCCCATTGTTCTACTGGCTATCAAAGAATGCGATTTCTACATTGCAATATAATTATACAACTCCGTAGCTTACCAGTACAGTTGAGGCCATTGCTGTCTAGGGTGTAACCAAGGTCGCAGCCACAGGTGTAGCTGCCCAGGATATTCACACAGTTATGGGGCTGTTCACAAAGCTGACCTTGCACACACTCATTGATATCTGCAAAATGAAACAAAACACATAATATTAGAAAGGCGCTTGCAAACAACACGAATTGCAATAAAAAGTCAACGGATATTTTTTTTGGGAACGCAAATGGCTAGTGTGGTTGAACTTTGAGGACGGGGACTACATTTTTGTTTTATCTGGTCTGGTGATAGTCCGTAAAATCATTGACATTACGATATTAGTGATGTGCACATTCACATTTCTCTGACTTCCTACCGCTTTGTAATATCCGTGGCCTAAGCTGCTTGACAAAAAAAAAACGATTGGGCACATTCAACACTTATCAATAACTAATATAATACAAGATGTTTATTATAATTAGGAAAAACGGAAAATGTCCTACTGACCATAACACTTCTCCCCAGTCCCATCCAAACCATTGGGACATGGTCCGCATTCGAAGCCATGTTTAGGTGCTACCATATCTGTACACGCCGCTCCTGGATAACACGGGTCCTCCTCACATTCATTCTTATCAGTCTCACAGAACTCTCCTGTCCAGGCTTCAGGACACGAGCAGGAAACAACCTATTTAACAATAACAAGACGAGGTATACACCATACAGAATCTGGTACTTAAAAGTAATAATCAAGAAGCAATAACAACTTAAATCGTAATCTGCTACCAAATCAATAAACATAAACATGTTCAATTTAGTCACTGTTCAAATACCAGTTTTGTTACATGAATACATGAGATGTATTCAACTGAATCAAAGAGAGCGTGCTTAATGCATCATGCGGGTAAAACGTTGATAACACGGAGCACGTACTGACCCGATGTACAGATGTGGAGAGATGCATCAAATGAAATAGAGTCAACTTTGCACTTGCATAGAAAGATCAACATTTAAAATATAATTCCTCTTTGATGAAGCCGTCTGGCTGCAAATTCTATATGGCTAGAATATTTTTGTCAGTAGGTTAAATATTAAAGAAAATAAAAAGTAAAGATTCTGCTATGAAATAGCACAAAGGTAAAGGATAATTTAAATAATATCAAAAATGTCTTGACGTGCTATACTTATTTCAAGACAGACCTGGAACTGTCCCACAGGGTTGATATCTCCAGTGAAGTCCACAGTGACAAAGTTGCAGATTCCACCGTGTTGACAATTGCAGAGTTTCACCATGGGGTAGGTCGACGAAGAGGCTCCTTTGTTGTCTTGGGCAATAATCTCTAGTTGCACGGGTAGTAGGCTTCTGGGAGTCCACCTAAGGATACCGTTAACTAGAAAAAGAAGAAGGATCTAATTTTTCAGACTTAGTAGTGTTATAGGTTCCCTTATAAAATCCCAACCTTGCTAACCTTCTGCCACCTCCTGGACATAGTAATGTCCTGTGTCTTCACTTTTGACCTCTTTCATCCTGCCTGTCAATCCTACACCCGCCAAAATGCTGTTAAACTATATGATTGAATTCTGGACATAAAAACAATACTTTCGTACCCGGAAGTACTACGTTGTAATACGGTAACTCAAAGGTGGTTTTAAAGAAAAGAAAATACAAAGGAACGCTTCATGATGACATCAAAGCGTTTAGATAGTTTGACGGATCTCCACGAAAACGTCAGAGAGCAACTGAATAAAAAAAAAAGTTACCACACATCGGACAACATACATACCAGGGTTAATGGTTGCCCCAGGAATGTTGTTGACGTTGCCAAAGGAATATCTCAAAGGATTGTCCTCAGGGTCAACAGCAATGACCTGTAGTTCCACCTGCTGTCTAACTATTCCATTGACTGTGGCGTTGGTTGTGATGTTGGGTGGAAAGTTGGCTGCAAGAAAGAAACACAATGATTATGTCAGTAGTGAACACGGTGTCTTCAAGGATTTCTGTCATTCATATTTCTATTTCGGTACGAATTATGTTGGTTTTGTTTTACAGTGCAACTGAAAAGTAATACATGTCTTTGCATTGAATAAACTTGAAGAAGTCCACGATAAAATTGTAAAAAAAAATAACAGGATCTTTGAAAAGTGCGCCGTAAACTAACCCAGTGTCTCTGCGTCTGAATCGAAAGTCACAATACTTGATCTGGTTTGTTCTCCCACTTCTGCGTCGTTTGTGCTTAGAAAGTCAAAGAGACATTCTACATTTGTGCCACACAGAACACCAGCCTCGCTTCGTTTCTTGGCGGAGACAGCTGCTAGAAGTTGGTTGAGAAACTTTGGTCTGAAATCTGGTTTGGCAAAGGAAGTTGCGTTTTGTCCATCCTCGTAGGTGAATAGACTTTCGTCTTGTTTGATTTGCCCTACAGAAAAATAATGCATTAATGTTCTTCTTGTTTTAAGATATGAATAAATAATGATTGGACTTTATGGCAAATTATTACACAAAAATAACATTTGTCAACACATCGAATATCTACACAATTATGTTCGAATAAGTAAACAATAAGTATACAATTGTCTAGAGAAAAATGTAAACATAATAAATGTCGTGTTTCTTACATGATAATCCCCACGGGAAGATTTCTTCCTCTGTTAGATTTCTGTCCTCTGGTGCCTTCAGTACCGTGCCGTTAGGATAGGTGAAGTCGTCCAAAATGTTGTCGTTCCAAACACCTGTGGATGTAATGTAATAGACATAACTAACTATACAATACGATTTATTGAGCTCTACATTGGTTAGTTATCTTGTTTTCTACTTGTAACTAGGGCAAAATAAAATAAACTGTCCTTTTGTCATTTGCTGGACCGAAGTTATGAATTTACATTTTTTATTAAAAACGTGCAAATATATTTTGTCTGTTTGTTATGAATTCTATCTATATGATAATAATTGCACCAGCTTCTAAACAGCAGGTCATTGCTATATAATATTTTTTTTTACCAGAAAGTAAGCAACATACCCAGCATGCCTCGGGTAGTGTTCTCGAAAGAACCCGGCGCTCCGAACTGTACATTCAGCATGAGTTTCTGGAGCGTGACGGTCACTGTTATTCCCGAAGAGAAGGAGGCGACCACACTGGTCTGGTTCGAGTTGAAATTGTACTGAAGAGTCAGATTGGCAAAACGCTGCGCACCTGCATGAAACATTACAGAAATCGTTGCAGATTTTCAGTAGACCTTTAATTAGGTTTTATAGAGGTTTTTCATTTTTTATCTTGCATTTCTTATGTGTTTGGAACTTTGTTCCTTTCCAAGGTAATTTTTTTTCATTTCCTTTTTATGATCTTTAGGGGAGCAATTTTACAAGAACTTTTCAAATTGTACCATTTTCAATTAAAATGTGAATTAAAAACATAGCAATAGTAAGAACAACCAAACATGTCATTGGCTTAATGACAAATGGACTACTTTTCTTTCCAATCTATTTCTAATTCATCCATCCTCACACCTTACCGTTCTGCTGTAGGTCAGTGATGTTGATGGACCGTTTATCCACCATTAGTGTCATGTTTTTCCGGTCTTTGTTCATACCCATTTCAACCTAAGTGAAAAAAGAATAGTCAGTAAATATTCATGAACGATGAAACAAAGATTAAAACTGTGTATGAATGAATGAATGGTTGAATGAATGAATGAATGAGACTTTATTTCCGTGTCGTTAGCGTTTCAACATTTACCAATAATTGTTGCGTGCATGCTCAATGCTTTCACCAAAAGAAACACCAAAAACAATCTAAGACAGACTTTTTCGCAACAAGGCAGCATGACCATAACATAGCTTTCAGTTTTATACCGATCATACTACGTAAAAGACCGGGTCCTTCGTAAACCAGTATGAACAAGTATAGGAGTTACCGTCGAGGAGCCATCTTGCTTTGATGCGAATGCCGTGAAGACTGTAGCCTCAGCCACTTCCTGGGTACCGTTGGCGATGGCTTTCTCCGTGCGCCCCTGCAGCCTGAACTCAACACTGGCCCCACTCGTCTTGACAAGGGTGAACTCTCCTAACCCGTTAAACGTGTAGGCTAGACCGTCTAGTGTCTTCATGTGAGGATCTCCCCACGTTATGGCTAAAAAAGGCAACACTCATACATTAACATTACCTGGTAAACGTGCTAAAATATCATGTAAAATCCTGTCTGCAGTCCTTCCTTGTGAAACAAAGATAATAATAATAATTATAACAATACCACATAGGCAAGAGCAGAGAAAAAATTATGTCTAATTGTGTATAGATTCAAAGTTGACAACATATTAATAAAGGAAACGTTCTGGAAAACAGAACAGATTTATGATAAAGAAATATAAATTGTGCTGATTGTTTAAATATTAGCTACACTACAACATCATAAAATTGATTTTTAAAGATACGATTGCTCCTGTACGGCGTACCTAGACGTGGTGGCCTGTAGAAAGAACAGCTGTTTGGAGGCCTCTTTTCATAGTACAGGTTACAGAAGTCTTCATCGTCAGACAGGCTACAGCACCAGGACTTGGGATTCACGTCAAAGTCTGAAAGAAAAGGATTATTTTCAAGCCTGTGTATATTCTCGATTCAATTGAATTCACTTAAAAACAGGAATGAGGGAGTTTAGGCTGGGTATATGGGCCAATGTGATCTAAACGTTGTCCGGCGTTGGTGGAAACATTGCTAATGGCAATTTTGTGACTCAAAATGCTCACGTGGTTTATACGTGCACACTGGCCAATCACAGGCTCGATGTAATAGATGTTTTAAGTAAAGGTAAACGTTAAAACTTTTACCTTTCCTTAGTTAGAACTCGTGGTGTAGTTCCTTTGTTTGTGCACCAGTGTTGTTATAGACTTATATATCTTATTTGGTAGAATCTGGTTCATGCAACAAACACGCAAACCCCTCAGTGTATCATGCCGTAATTGGAGTTTAGTCCAACAAAATGTTTATAATTACCAGTGTGAAGTTGGGAGAACCGTTGATATCTGTGGTGACTTCCAGCCAGGGGTATCTCAGTGTTCAGGGCCAGGAACTTGTAACAACAGTCTACACTGGAACCAGTCGGGCTGGCAAACAGAGGACTGAAGCAAACTTCCTGATCTAAGAATGTAAGCAAGTTATCATGAAGATGCATAATGGCCTTCATATATCAAACAGATAATACACAAAACATGTAGATACCATACGCAGAGAAAACGAAGAAATGGAAAATTTTTAACATAAAGATTTAAATATTCGACGGTCAACTCTCATTGGTCTAGAGACTCTAACCACTAATTGCCACTTCTTGTAGGTAGGGATATCAATATAATCTAAAAGTCCTCACACAACATATACTTATATACCGTGTAAATGTTCCATTCTATACAATATATTTTCGACTGTGTTATGCAAAACATCAAACAAATACGTTTAATTTGACAATAGCATATAGTACTCATTACGAAATCTGTGCCTAAAGTCTGAGAGTCTGGTATGCTATGTTTTTCTTCTTTTAAGCGGTGCTGAATGTAAAATGTAAAAAGAAAATGCTATGTACCTTGATTCACCAGAAGTAGTGACCAGATGTCAAAGGGTGACAATGTCAATGTAACAGGGGCGAAACGTAGATCCCTCAGTGCCTGCAGCAGCGTGCAAGGACACAGGCCTTCTCCTACAATCCACTCTGAAGGGTCTGGCTCTGTCTTGTACCAGTCACGACACAGCTTCTTGTAGTTCGTTTTCCGTGTGGCATCGCTCTCCAACTTAAACGCCCATCGTCCTTTCAGCCCCGTGTTCCCGTTGACTTGGTCGGGTCTGTACGGATCTGCCAGCCGGATGTTTTCCAAGTTGACGCCGTTAGCGCTGTTGTACCCGAGAAGAACGTCCTGGGTTTCATTGGTCCACAGCATCTCGTCTTCCTTATAGGTCAGGAAAGCGACGGAATCTGATCCATCGGTGGCCAGGACGGCTTGGAATGTGTTTGGCTAAAAGAAGAAACATGACATTATTGGCGTCATTATAGTAACTTCGTTGCGCATGCAGTTATAACACTAAGTTTAAAACATTGATAAACGTGTGCCAGACTCGTACTGACAACTCATATAACAAGTATCTCTTTAGACGTTTCAAAGCTAACGTCTTCAAGAACAAATCAATTTCTTTACTGAAAGACAGGCTTTAGTTGAGCTTAAAAGTAAAAAAAAATCATTTTCACATATTTGTCAATTTTACTCTTTTTAATCATGTGTTGTTTTCTATAATTTGCGCAAAATACTAGACTGCTAGCGCTAGACTTACGTTTTGTTTTGTGTACATTGCCTCGACAGAGGGTACACTGTCCCAGGTCACCACCAGTACCCAGGTGGGCACAAACGTGTCGCTGAAGGACTGGTACATCCTCGTAGTAACCATGTCAAACACTGTCTGTGTGGCATTGTCTACTGAGTTGTCATCAGTATACACCTGGTAGAAAACGAGAGGATCAGTCATTGTAGGTAAACATGCAATAGTTTCTTGTTTTTTAACAAAACAATCTGTTGACTCGTAACAGTTTATATTTATGATAAATGTTGGTCATCTATGATAGATAATATGTCTATATAGTTCTATGGTGTGATGATGAATACAATTTACGTTAAACTTTGTTAGTGATTTACACGTCCAAAATCCTAAGAATATCATATTAATAAGAGTAAGATCAAACAATTGTTTTTACTTCTATACTGCTGAGTTTTTTTTTACCTCCGAGGGAGGAGACATCCTTCCGCGGAAGGGTTTTGTGAGAGATTTAGATTTTCATGTTCGCAGCTGTTTCTCGCGTTTGGGTGGACGGGTTTTTTGGGGACTCGGTATATGTTTTGCTATTGGGCTGAATATCATGCACGTTCTTTTGTTTTTATTGTATTTTCGGGCGTGAAAATGGTGCCTTTTGGTGGCCCCAGAACACCCCTTTGAGCGTGAAAGTGGTCGCGACCGTTGACCTTTGGCGTGTATTACGCATTGTCGGTCTCGTCCACGAAGGTGACCCCTCGCACAGAAGGGTGTCCGGTCTCGATAAATTCTCTGTTTAAAACCCTAGTCCTGCGGCGCGCAACCAACATATAAAGATATACAATAAAAAGGTATAAAATCTCATATTTTACCTGTTTAAGTTTGTCATTTACCTGATACCAGACTTTCCCCACGTCCGTTGTGAGATCCACATCTCCCCATGACGCTGCTACCATAGGAGGGAATCCTGCCTGTACGGTCTGGTTCCTCCTGAACAGACTGGGGTTCGGGTAGGGTTCCCTCCGCGCACGGGACTGCGCCGTCGGCGGGAATATTATCAACCCGTTATCGGAGAACTGCAAGGAAAGGGATCGAATAATTGCCACAACCTTATGTCAGGACATCCTTACGTCTATATCTACATCCAACTCTATCTAGCTATCATGTACATGTGTTTTTGTTTTTCTTTGAACCATTCTTTATTCATGTGAAGCTCAAATCTGCCCTCAGGCCGGACGCGTGGAAACAATTTTTCTCTTAATGGAAAGATAAGGCAAGGTCTTCAAAGTTCACATAATTTGCAGTCCTAGTAAATGTATACACATTTTTACATATATTTATTCCTCATTAAGGAACATAGTGACTGTTGAACTTTATTTCAATTATTTCTTTAAAAAACTAATCAGATTACCGTAAATACTTTTGAATTATGGAAGAGACACACAAAACTCGCGATAATCATAACAACTTAAAAATCTACTAAACAATTTAAAAAAGGAATTTATACTCAAGGTTCTATAGATCTAAGTGGTGTGAGGCTAGGAGAAGAAAAGTGATCTTACATAAAGGCTGTAGTAGAACTGTCCAAAGAAAGGAAATCCTATACTGATGTCAATCAGAGACGGCAGAGAGATGTCTTTGTGGTCGTCTGTGTCAGGCAGCAACATGTCCCCTTGTTCTTCACCGTAAGGGAAAATGATGGTTTCTGAAACAAAACACAAAGTCTAATATTTATATCACTTATATCATAATGGTAACTTACTTTATTGAAAGGCATTAGTCTACCTTTTTAACGACAGTTTGTCATTTAAAATCATTTTTGACACTATGACTATCAATTTCCTGTGATGACTGCATTGGCTTGCTATATTCATTAGCATAAGTTTCAGTTTAAACAGGTAGACTGAGATTCGAACCCCTTTGACCTAAGATCAAGATTAACATTGCTAAGAACCAGTTCGCAGCTAATTATGATTGAATAATCTTTTTTTCATATTCATGCTCAAATGAGCTAAACGCATATGTGACCATATGTGGTGTAGAGGATATAAAACATAGCATTGACATTGAAACGTTACATTCAAGTACCAAGTTAGTTTATATGTTACAGCAATACTACAACCTATTTATCATCTACTGTTAAACACCACTTCTTCTTTCTTTTTGAAACAGATGTAAAATAACTTTATATTTTGTCCACTATACGTTTATTCAAAATTTCAAGATGTCCTGCTTTGACATTTTCTGACATATCCTGTATATTTGTAAAGTCTCCCACTGTTATTATAACTTATGTTACCTCTACACACGACTTTATCCTGTGTGAGGCCATTTCCATAGAAACCGTCCCTGCATGTACAGCTGTAGCTTCCCGGTGAGTTGTTACAGGCTGAGTTCTGATGGCATTTTTCTATGAGACACTCATCAACATCTGCAGGCAAACAGCAAAGGAGAATGTCATCTACTGTGCAGATATCTATGTATATCTTAGAAAATGTTTATTACAGCAACCATTCTCACGACTGTGTGATTTGAAAACAATGTACAAGTAGACCACTTCATCAAGAATCATTACTATATAGCTATGGAATCTTACATTGCTGGTAAATATTAGGTGATTTTGTTTCAAATACGTTAGTAATATTTAGGCTAAGTTGCATATGAGAGGCTCTTTGAGCCGTAAATGTATACAGAGAGAGAGAGAGAGAGGCACACACACACACTCACACACAAACACAAACATCATAGTGTTTTTCATACTTTGCATACTGCAGGAGGGAGACTTTTCTTAAAACGACTCGCGTATATTAAAAGCACATAATAATTTTCTTCTTTGCATCACGTTGAATTCAACGGAATTTACCATTGTCCTTGGTTTTTGTGTTCAAAATGGTACAAGGTAAATGACTCACCTCTTTCACAGTTAACGCCCTGCCATTCACTTGGACAGTCACACGAATACTCATTAAGTCCATTTATGCAGGTTCCACCATTTTGACAGGGATCGGAAGCACACTCATCAGTTTCTGTTGGGGCAAAAAACACAAAGTCAAAAGAAACATAAATTCCTACCATAAAACAAACATCTGTGTGAACGTTAACGAAATAAAATAAAATAATACAGCATTAATAATTAGCGAAATATGGAACACAACGAAGCTGTAACTCTTGAAAAAAACTTTTTTTTTCATTCATAATCCTAAAGGATGGTATCATTGAAAAGTATTTAACAGTTTGTGTCCATAATGCAGTATTTGTTTTACCGGTGCAATCAAATCCGTCTCCATGGAAACCCTCTTTACAGGTGCAGATGAAGGAGCCGTTTGTGTTTCCACAGTCAGCATGCCGGTGACAAGGATCAGACGTGCACTCATTCATGTCTGTTAAAAAAGGAACACATTGTATTAAGTAACCTTGACAGGACAGGGTTTTGTTAACCTTTTTTGAAGGTTATCACTGGGAATAGCTAGCTTTGGGGTTCAGCAAATGACAATTGGGGTATTAACTGTCTTAAACAGCTAGGTACTAGGTAGATATTAAACAATATAGGAAATTTAACCAAACTGGTAACTAGTAGTAACTTATGCTCTTAATTTAACAATTGCCAAAAGGTTTCAAAAGGTTGAGGTACCCTTCCTATGTCACACATAGTAATATAAAGGATTAGAATTTACCACTGGAAGCAATGGAAAATTGAAGACAACCTTGATTTACATAATCTGATGTTAAAACGAAATACCTTAGCCGCATAACAAGGTGTGTTTTGTCAACATTTCGATGACCTGCTGTCATCTCCTTCAGGGCAATATTGTCTGGTTCTCCTTTAAGTGACGCTGCTACAAAGCTTCGCAGCAGCTGCTACGTATATACAAAGCTGTTGAAAAGAATGGGGCCCCACGTTTTTTAATCACACTTCACGACAGGAGAAACGCCTTACCCTCTTCACAGTTCATTCCCTCCCACCCATCCACACAGTCACAGCTGTAGGTGTTGATCCTGTCACTACAGGTCCCATTGTTGAGACAGGGTGGAGGTTCACAATCGTTGACATCTAGAAAAAATAAAGAGAGATCTAAATACTGCTAAATCCAACAGATACTGCTTTACTTCAGCGATGCGTATAATTGTGAAATTCGTCCAAAAGTCGTTTGCAGTTCATATGTTGAAACCTTTTTCGTAACTGATAATAATCATGGTCGTTACGTGTCCTGTCCAAGTTATTTTGATACACTGTTTCTTTACAAAATATCGTTAATTATTTTATGTTCTAAGAACCAAAATTACGATATTGATTTTAAAGTTAAGATAAAAGTTGTACTTTTGTTCTGTAGGAAACGTTCATGATATTTGATACCAAAAGTACTCACTTATTTCACACCTCTCCCCAGCAAACCCCTCACGGCAGGTACAGGTGTACCCGTTGATCCTATCCACACACGTTCCACTGATACAGGGGCTGGAGCTGCACTCGTTGATTTCTAGTTCAAGGAACAATAAAAAGTTTGCGAACATCAGCCATGAGAAAACCTTTCAATTTGCTATTATTGAAACTGACGATTCTGACATTTGACAAGTTATAGAGCATGAATACTAAGTACATTAATTTTCTAAACATTCACGAACATCAACTTAGCCAAACGTATGATTCAGTCCTTCATTGAACTGCAAATGACCGCATATTAAAGAATGCACTTCACATTGCATGATCTCAATTATGAAAATGGTCATAATCATTATAAAAGGCCTCTTTACAGACCTGTGCAAAACGTGCCAGACCCCACATATCCGTCCAGACACTGACAGGTGTAGCTGCCTGCTGTGTTGATGCAGTTGGCAAACTCAGAACATGGAGCCGACAGACACTCGTCTTCATCTGGAAAATAAAAAGAGGTCAGCAAAAAATCTGTCATCATTACTGAAACTTTCGGCTACAGGAGGCAAATTTTATGGATGGTATCCTCCACAGACTTTAAATCTAGTGGGATAGGGAGAAAACAATACATAGCGGGCCCAAAAACAAGATTCGCACATTTTTTTTTTTTAATTTTGACATCATAAACCTTGTTAAACAAGAAATGATTGTGTTAAATTGTGCTTAATAAACTGCCAACTATTATAACATCCAATTGTCCCTGAAAAATAAAAGTGTAAAATCATTGTACATTGTTTTGATTCAGTGGAAACATCACATGTAAAAGGAACAAAATGCATCACCGCATCAAAGTAAAAGACAAAACATTAAATCAGAGCCTTTGCTTGTCTCCTATTTTCATATTTATCTGTCATCCACGTTCCGGCAACTTTACTGGCATTGACTACGATTTGTAGATCGAATTTTACTGCTATGTAAGATGATGACGATGTAACAGACCTTCGCATGATGTCCTCCCGTCACCAGTATAACCACTGGGACACCGGCACGTGTACGAGCCGTACGGAGAGTTGATGCACCTCGCGTTAGGCACACAGGCTGGCCGGTCCAAGCAATAGTCCAAACCGTCTTCGCATTCATTGATGTCTGCAAAAGAATGTATGAAACGTACGTAACTTCCTTAAAACTTATAAACTGACATAAAGTAAAAAAAAGGTATGCTTGGCATAAAAATATCGAATATTCAAAGAAATCAAACTGGTAAAATTTTACAAACTGGTAAGTTGCTTTAAACTTAAAGTAGTATATAAAAGTACATGCTTATGAGCTTACCTAGGCAAAACTGGGAAAGACCAAAAAATCCGTATCCTGTGTTGCAGTCACACTTTTGAATGTCGCCATCAACAAAACAGCTTCCAAACCCACAGAACCGGATACAGGGGGTTATTGCTGAAGATTAAGAGCAACATATATACCGGTAAGTTTATACCTATGATGTGATTTTTACCGAAACTGTGTGTTACAAGTTCCTCTTAAATCTCCAAGAACAGTCGGACACACACCAAAGTCAAAGTTCCACAGCCTTTATTTTCCACACCCTTACTCCAGGGCTCCCTTCTCAGAATGCCCAAACAGACTACCCCTCTCCCCTCTGGAATGCCTTCCTGACCTCGATATTCCATTCCGGGCTTAACCGTTACTTATCAGGGGAGGGTATAGACCCACACATGTACTGGCAATTTTCTCTGGCATGTAACACCTCCCCCAAGATGATAAACATGTGAAACATTGTTTCGTCATCTGACAACATGCTCACTACTACTAATACTACTAACAGGGGAATCAGCTACCTTAAAACACTACTCTGTTACAACACACTTCTACTCCATTACTTCACCTGGTCAGCCATGGCATGCTCTGAAACTTATTTCACACCATACTCCTGCTTGGTGCGTTTCCCTGCCGCCTTCTTTAGTTGGTGCTGCCTCTGCAACCAACGCAGCCGACCCCTCCGGTAAACCGGATCCTCCTCCATGAGCTTCTGTATCCTTTGTTTTGCTGTGTTACTCTCGCTCCTCACTTCTGCTTTCGGAGGATACGCGACTTGGCCACCTTGCTGGCGTCTCGCTGGAATCTGATATCGTGGCACCGCTGACTCCATCTTCTCACCACGCCCAAGGCACCTCTTGTCCTCCCCCATCTCACTCTTGATCTCCCGAGTTGTTACCGGACCTGCCCTACTTCCGACGCAGGCCGCCCCGTAGTCGTTGCCTAGCAACACCGGGTAGGGTGTGTTCATCACCCCTACTTCTACCTCTCTCGCGTTACCATCTACTTCCAGCTCAACTCTGGCTGTAGGAACGCTGTCAACAGCCCCATTGGCCAGTCTGACTTTAATGGCATCTTCTGTGTATGCCTTCCTCGGCACCAATGTCTTGTTGACATAGGTCCTGGAGCTCCCAGTGTCCCTGTACACCTGTACTTGCTGGCCGTTCACAGCTCCAGTGCAGCTGTACTTGCTGTCTTCCGCCAAGTTTCCATCCGCGTCCCAGGGCTTGTCTGCTCCCTGCGCGAACATACTCTGTGCCACCACATTCTTCTTGGAGAACCCTTTCCCCAAACTAGGGCAATCAGCTTTCACGTGCCCTGTTTCACGACAGTGGTAACAGGTCTTACGGAAGCCTCCCCCAGGCTCCCCGGAGCCACCTTGACCGCTCTTCCTGGCAGACTCACCCTCAGAGCTTGATGAGTTGCGTGGGCGGACACCTTCAGCCAGGCTCGTCTCGTGAGCCATCAGATACTGGTCACTCATCTTCCCCAACTCCTCCAAGGACTTTGGTTTCCTCTCTCGTAGGTGAATCGACAGCTCTAAGGGGCACAGATCGAGGAATTGTTCCTGAACAATCAGGTCGCAGATTCCTTCATACGTCTTGGGAGTTTTGGACAGCTCGATCCACCTGTTAAGGTAACTGCCCAAACGTACGACGTACTGGTCCGGCCCCTCCCCCTCCCTGAGGAACTTCAGAACGGAACTTTTTCCTGAACCCGTCTTCTGTGAGCTCATATCTCTTGAGGATGGCGTCCTTCACTTTATCGTAGTCTTGGGCATCGTCATCAGATAGCCTGCTGTACACATCCAGTGCCCTCCCCGTGAGTAGGGCACTCAGTAGAGACGCCCACGTGTCTTTCGCCCAGTGGTTGGCACGGGCAAACCTCTCAAACCTCAAGAGGTACCCATCTATTTCTTCGCCTTCCGTAAAGCTTGGTAGTCTCGGCGTCTTAGCCTTGACGTCTCCTGCACCTTCTTTCTTGGCCTTATGGTACTCGATTTCCGCCTGCCGTACCTTCAGCTCTTCCATCTCCAGCCCATGTCTTCTTTGAGCCTCTTTCTCCTTAGCCTCATTCTCCCTCTGAGCCTCTCTTTCCTTGGCCCGTTCATCTCTTTCTATAGCCTGCTGGGCCATCACAAACTTCAGGAGGTTTTCCCCCTCCAAGCCCATCTCCTTGCCTTGTTCGATTAGCTTATCCATGGCTGACACAGGTACACCACCCCCTAGCCACAGTCAATGAACGGTCCCTGCAATCAATGCACTATCCCTGATCTCTGTCTCTGTCTCTGATAAAAGTGGGACCAGATGTGATCGGTGAAACCCTACTCTAGAGTGCAATACTGGACTAGCCCTAGCGGTAGCTATCTGTCAACAACTCCTGACCACATCCATCAAAAGCACATTCCTAAGCAGAGTAACCTCACAACAACACAAGACTTTTAGAAAATACACTTCTAGGAGATACAGACTTCTACTAAGTTCTAGAAACTCGCAACAGGTCAACAGAACAACGAAATACACCAACTGTTACCAGCTGCTTCAGTCTGCTCTCTCTCTGCCACTGTCCTCAATCATATGATAGTTCCTACAGTTCAGTACATGAATCCTTTAAGACAGTCCCGCTGCTCACTCCTCGTCGAGTCGTCAATCTCCGGAAAGCGTCCATACAACACTGCTGGGCTCCACAGCGTCCCGTCTTCTCCTGGAATTCCCTCCTGGACTCTCCTCTTGCTTCCACCGCTTCCACTGACCGCCCCGTGAAGCACCAATCCGCGATCTTTGCCGTTGTATCCACACAAAGTCCGCTGGTCTCCGCTGGTCACAGCCTTCTTCTCTGGCTCCCACGTGCCCTGATTCTGTAGACGTTTGATCTCCAGCCTCAGCCTCCAACCTTGCACGATCACCACAAGGTCCACTGATTTCTGCTGGTGATACAATCTTCTCCTCAGGCTCCCACGTGCACTGATTCTGTCCGGGTCCTGTGGACGTCTGGTCTCCAACCTCAGCCTCCAACCTTGCACGATCACCACAAGGTCCACTGATTTCTGCTGGTGATACAATCTTCTCCTCAGGCTCCCACGTGCACTGATTCTGTCCGGGTCCTGTGGACGTCTGGTCTCCAACCTCAGCTTCCAACCTTGCACGATCAGCACAAAGTCCACTGATTTCTGCTGGTTACAACCTCCTCTGGCGATTCCTGACCAACTATCCTGCCGACAACGCCAATGTTACAAGTTCCTCTTAAATCTCCAAGAACAGTCGGACACACACCAAATTCAAAGTTCCACAGCCTTTATTTTCCACACCCTTACTCCAGGGCTCCTGTTGTGTCCCAAACTGTGCCCGTCCCGTTCCGTGCCTGAGCGGGCACAGAACGGGACACGGCCTGACTGTCCAGAACCGTGCCCGGAGGTGCTGTCAATCATAGTGATTGGCGGGAACCTAAACATAATTATTCACGCCCACGATTTCTTATATGGCTACATTACGTGAGATATAGCGAGTCTGTGTACAGCATGTGCTTTCAAAACGCAGTTTTCTCACAACTTAGTCTTATGTTTGGTCGACATGAACTTAGATAATAATATACAGAGACTAGTTAATACAAGATAGAAACTCTCTTGGAACACATGTTATGAGAACTATGTTCAGTCCCCTAAAGCCGCAAGCCTACATAATACGTGTCCAGAACTGTGTGCGGCCAGGCACGGTTCTGGATAGTCCCCCGCGTGTCCCAGAATGTAGATTTTCCCCAGGCACGGTTTGGGACACGCGCCGAGTGTCCCAAACCATGCCCAAGCTCGGTTTGGGACAAGACACCCGCGTGTCCCAAACTGTGCTCAGTCCCCAGGCACGGTTCGGGACACGCGCCGAGTGTCCCAGACCGTGCCCGGGCATGGTTTGGGACAAGGCCATCGCGTGTCCAGAACTGTGCTCGACCTGAAGCACGGTTCTGAACGAACACTTCGTTTATCTACAAGTTGATTTGCTCTACTCTGGCGTGGATACGCGTCAGGACTATCCAGGTCCGTGCGTGGGGTTGGTGGATAAGCAAGTGTTGTTTCCGATTGCAGGAGTGAGCTTGGGTCAGTCTGCTTTCTTGGGTATACTACGTACTGTGTTGTATCAAGAACTGTGTTCGCACTGTGTTGCAGAATGATACAAGACACTCTGTTTGGACACTACGTGTAATCGTAGACCAGCGTGAAATGTAAAAATGTACTTTACAGAGCAAGAATTACACCGATTCTTTCTTATTCTTGCCCCGACGAAAAACAAAGATGGCGGCCTAAAACAGTAAACAACACCACGAGAAGGCTCCTCCCTCAAAACACTAAGCTCCGCCCCCAAAGCACGGAATGGGACAAGGTCCTTGTGTGTCTAGAACTGTGCCCGATCAGGCACAGTTCGGGACAGTCCCCGCATGTCCCGAACTGTGCTCAGTCCCAAGGCACGGTTTGGGACACGCGCCGTGTGTCCCAAACCATGCCCAGGCATGGTTTGGGACAAGGCACGGTTTGGGACACAACAGCTCCCTTCTCAGAATGCCCAAACAGACTACCCCTCTCCCCTCTGGAATGCCTTCCTGACCTCGATATTCCATTCCGGGCTTAACCGTTACTTATCAGGGAAGGGTATAGACCCACACATGTACTGGCAATTTTCTCTAGCATGTAACACTGTGCATTTTTTCATTATAACACTGACCGTTACAGGATTTTTTTCATGAATTATATATCATTGTATACCTTCACAAGTCAGCAGTGTGCCCTTCCATTCCCCATCGCTGCCACAGGTAAGCGTTGTGGTCCCGTTCTCGGACTGAAATCCCGTCTTGCAGCGGTAAGTGGCCACGGAGCCAGTGGTCGTTGCAGTCAGACTTACTTCAGTATGGGAGGGCAGCAATGGACATCCGCAGTCCGCAACTAAGGAGAAATTTTGAATTCACGCGATGTACATTATGGGACAATCAAACATTAAAACAATGAAAGAAGGTCACCATTCTGGAGCGAGAAAGCAGATGGTTCGAACGAGGAGTCAAGGAAGCTGTAAACATCAGGTCCCGCTCCCCGTCCCTCAACCGCGATCAAGTGCCAATTAAACTGTTCTCCAACTTAACCTTCTTTCTGCAGGGGCCTGGGCGATATCCACTTTACATGGCCTTTGCAAGTGTCGCGTGTTATGCGTGGCTTGGACAGAGTGGTTCAGTCGCAAATTCTGTTATTTCCTTCTATCGTTTTAGTTGAAAGCAGTTCAAAAGACATAAAAACCATTTACGATAGAAAGTATATAATATTATATTAATTAACAAGAAGAGAGGTCGGAATAAAATTGGTCAGAAAATTAAAAGTAGTTTTCCCATCTCTGTGACAAACAACATTAGCTGGGAAGACGTCATATTTTATCCTTCCACCACCTGCTTGGTGAAAACCCGGGACTAGCCCATTGACATTATCGTTGGCAACTTGTGCGAAGTGTATCATATTTGCATTGGAAACAAAACTTAATCGAGCTGCTCCATCGCCCCCAAGCCATATATACACAAACTCTTTCAATCGTTCGCCAATTGAGTAAAATAACCTTGTAGTCGAAAAAAAAACATACCAGCTGTTGTAGCCATTGTTCCACTTGCGTCTGGTGAAATTGAAAGCTGAGTTGTCGTTACATTGATTGACAATGTACCTGTGGTCGGCTCTGTTGGTGTAGTCGTGTTGAACACCGTGGTCAGGTCTGCTGCCGTGTTAAATGAAGTGGTCGGCTCCGTTGTTGTGTCAGCCACATCTTCATCAATGGGACCGTCACTGTCATCATCTCTGGGGATTAAAATGTTTATGTTGATATCATGAAGTCTAGTTTCTGATTGACATTTAGTCTCAAGACAAGTAATAAAATATTATACATTTGCTGTGTTTAATAACCGATGTTTACCATCGAGCCTATGCCAGTAAAATTGCCATGAGGTTTGCACAAACAAAATCTCCGAAAAGATAAAAACAACTGGTTAATTGATACGCCATGTTTGATACGAATGGAAAAGGCACAGAGTAAAATACATTATTGATAGATATCATTAGATAAAACGATTAGAATTCGAACTATCAGACAAAAGCTGTAATATAGGGAAGGTAAAACACAACCCTTACATTCCGTTCAGTTGCTCCTCGTCCACCAGTTGGTCACAGTCGTTGTCGATTCCGTCGCCGACTATTGGTTCTGTGACGTCACATCCACCTGGAATGCTGGCCAGTCGGAGACCCAGGGGAAAACCGACGAAGCCACTGTGAGAGAAGCCGTAGTAGGTTAGGGAGAAGATGACATTCGCGGATTCGTGTTTGATCTTGTGTGTTCCATCACCATTATTAGTGCCGATGTAAAGCTGCGTAGCGGACAAATCAGAGTCCGGGATGGGAGACCAGATCGTGTTGGAATGTAGTGGGTTGCCGTCATACGTCAGCCCTGACGTTTCTGACGTCTTGATGACGATGTTTACGTAGTGGACGTAGGACGAGATCCATGTGTTGACATTGGTGAAGGTGTAGTCGGCGGCGAACTGCTCCACCGAAGGCAGGTACATCATGAAAGAACCCCCGCCAAAGTAGTTCCAACTAAACCCCTTGCTGTACTGCAGTACCATGATAGGCTGGGAGGACGTGATGGACTTGTAGGTGTTGGACGAAAAGTCCAGCTCCCAGAACTCGCCTGCGCCTAGCGTACGAGGCGATATACCGGTGACTTTCACAGTGGTGCCGTTTCTGGCAGCCACGATGCGGAAGATGTCGCCTGCTTGACGCCCGGCTAGCGGGACGGTGACGAAGCGACGTCCCCAGGTGTTGACGGGCGGGATGTGTTCAACTAGATGATCACACCAGCCGTACTGAGTTGGCACACTGGTACACCACACGCCAGACATGACGGACACCGGCTTGTCGGACACAATGTGGGTACCTGTAAGGTCCGACAGGTTCCAGCCCTGAAACTGTATAGCCTCCAGACGGTCTAGCGAGAACGCGATGACGCTCCCGGCATTATAATACGTGTCGTTATGGTACACAGTCCCTTTAACAGTGACGTTGATCAAGGTGTCATTTTCAACACCGAAGATGGCGAATTCGGACGGATTCCCCCGATACGCAGGAGTGTACGAAACAACGAAAAACTCTTTGCCGAGAACGTCAACAGGAAGACCCAGGAAACCGTCTGTGTTCAGTTCCCCCTTGTTCACGCCGTACAGGATAATATCGTGGTCGGCGGTGACGAGGACGCCTTTCTGAGCCCGCTCGTCTCCCCTGAGCATTAAAGAGCGTGGCAGGGTGACCTCCTGTACAGCTGCGTCAGTCACGATAAGCTGCTCCGTGTAGTTGGCACCTGGGGCAGTGATGGTGACGATGGCGGGTTCTGAGCTCGCGCTGGTGAGGAGCAGCTCCAGTTCGCTGTATCCGTTTTCGTAGTTCTCTAGAAATCCAACCACAAACTCTGTTCCTCTGTTGTCCGGAGGCGTCAGCACTGACGAGAGACAACGTCACGTTAGTTAGGATTTTATATTTTGAACTTGTGTGTGGAGCCGGAGAAAGAGGGACTTGATATTGATATCTACAGAGCTCTATACAAAACTGAACCATGACGCCAACCAAAGAATTGACTTATTAGGGCGCAGAGCTCTCCGTGTTGCGCAGAGTTACGTGACGAAGTCTTTATTTGTGACACAGTACTGGCTGTATCGCCTACTACTCACATTGAATTGACTTGATATCTACAGAGCTCTATAGAAAACTGAACCCGTGACGCCAACCAACGAATTGGCTTGTTTTGGCGCAGAGCTCTGCGGGGGTATCGCGGAGGGCTGCACGAGCGACCTCCATGGAGGAGCTCTGCAGAGCTGAGGGCTGAACGAGCAACCTCCATGGAGGAGCTCTGCAGAGCTCCTCCATGGAGGTTGCTCGTGCAGCCCCTATTGCCAATTCCTTTTGTCTTTTACCAGTGAACGTTTATACTGTCAAGCAGATGGTCTATATCTGTTGATATTTTTTACCTTCACAAGTCGGTGTAGCATCACTCCATGTCCCGTTCGGCTGGCAGGTTATATTGGCAGTTCCCAACAGCTGATATCCAGCTATACAGTTGTACCCGACTGTTTGTCCTGATGTAAAGTTACTGTTGTTATCTCTGATCCCATTGGCTGGCATACCAGGATCCCAGCATTGGCCTGCTGTACTGCCTGGAAGAAAATAGTATGGACTCCCTTCCTCGCAGTTAATGTTGCATCATAACATTAGAACATACAAATCATTGAGAAAAATAGTCCAAACGAAAAAAAAAGTTCTTATTAAATAACATACCAATTCCTAAGCATACTTTAACATGGTTTTTATAAAGAGTACAACCTAAGACCTTACTTGTGTAGGAAAAGTTGAACCCCTGACGGGTGACACTGTAGTCAGATGTAAACCTCAGGAACATCGTGTTAGATGTGCTGATGATGGGGCTGATTGGCCACGGGTCACCTGTTAACCTGGAAATTAAAAATAGATAAGATTTAACATATACTATTTTAATGTACTTGGATTCAAGACTGTTTTCTTTCAATATTCTAATAACTTGAATACCCCATAATGATTCTTCATCACCGTCACATTGTTTAAATACTTTAGAAATGTTTGAAAGCATTCAGAAGACTTATATACATTCAAGTGATAACTAACAATAATATAAGAAGTAAATAATAACGAAAATCACTGTAATTACAATGACAATAAAGATATGATATGATATGACAATAGAAACAGTAATGATAATAATGATAATAATATTATTAGTTGTGAAATATAAGGGTCAAACAACAAAGGGATTAATGCGAATGTTTAGATGCTGTTTTAAGTTACAATGTGAGTTCTTATTAGAGTGTTGTTATGTCGTTAGGAACATTACCTCTGTAATTCTGCAGCATTATCACTGGTTCCATCGTAGATGGTCAAAAAGTCATACCCTTCTTCGGTGTCGAAATTGTCAAACGCAAGACGAATGATGCTTGCCTTTGGTACAGTGATCGACCACTGGTAGTTCTCATTGTTGCCATAGTTACTGGGAAACTTCGGTGACGTCAAAGGCCCTCCAGAGGGACCCGTCATGTTGATTCCCCTTCCAGTAACACTGGTATTTACTGGAGATTCTGCCGCGCTGGTTACTGAGAAGTGAGAAATAACATCATGAGGACAGGTAATGTAAGGTCATTACGGAGAAAGCGTAGTCCATATAGATGTATCTGGGCCTACACTAACTCCATCCCATACCTATGGTAACATATTTTGGGCAGTTTACCGAAGAAAGTTATTTACATTTTTCTTTGGGTACACCAATGAATTCCTGTCGCTGAGCCTTAATGAACTTCCAGAACCGCTTCTTTGTTTGTTTGTTTGTTTGAGCATTTATTTCAACTCGATCTGTAACTATGTTACATGCTCTAATCGGCCGCTATTTCGGCCGCTTTTCATAGAGGTCGAGCGTGGAGGAGTGTCAGGGGGTCATAACACAAATACTACTTGCTCACAAATGAAAACAAAGTAATAATTATATACATAAGGTAACTCACACAAAGTAAATAAATAAACAAAATGGCAATAACTAATAAATAACTCATAAGTCGTTGTGTCCAAAGTCGTTCAGTCAAAGTAGGTTACGATACTAGCAGTCTTTTAAAGGTGCTAAGAGTAGGTGCTGCTCTAACATGCTGAGGAAGAGCGTTCCATACAAGCGAGCCGGAGTAGGCTAGGGATCTCCGGTATGTTTCTCTTAATGGCATCGGTACCGCAAGGAGATCAGTCGCGCTTCTGGGTCCCTTCTTCTAAACCCTCTTTGATAGAACTGTTTATATACTGGCGCCTGGCACGCTTGAGGTCTCTTGCAGTCTTTCTGCTCGTTTGGGGAAGACGACAGTGATCCAATAGGTGGTGGGGGTGTTTCCAGTGTTGCAATATTCCGGACCAAGTGCGGGAGCAAATTAAAACATGACCGTCTCCAGCGCGCATGCGCACTCTCCTCAGTTAGTAATGATATGATTAATTTTTTTTTCAAGTTGGATGTCATTTGGTCCAGAACTATTGGTTTGTCTTTTCAGTTTAAGGCAAAACATAAGCAACGGTTACCATAGAAAAATATCCACAAGTTCCATGTGTTTTTAAGCCGTTTTCCATTAACCCTATCTAGACCGGGGGGGGGGGCTAAAAGTGCCCGCGGCAACTTTGATGTCACATAGCGTATGAACGGCTAGGGCTAGAACCGCCAAACTTGGTGACTTTTCCTAGAATATTGTTGGCAACGAATCTGTACCAATGGAATAAGATTTTTCTTGTTGCCATGGCAACGGGTTTCTAAAAGGCATTTTTTGCCAAATTTAATAATTTCCATTTAAATAACAGAGTTTTATGGGTTTTATGTCAAGTTACACATTGTTTCTAATATTAACAACATCACATATAATAACATGTAAATTTTATTATTAAAATGAATAATTCATGCTAATTTGATGACGTCATTGGCCAAAATCTAAGATGGCGGACCATATCATTAGATCAGGTAAATACAGCTTATTTTCCTTAAAATTTCATCAATACTCCCATTTCCTTTTACAAAAAAGGTTCATACAAACGTCTTTAGTCTGTTTACAATGTATTTTAGGCTTTATCCTGAAAAAAACAACTATTTTTCAAAATTCAAGATTGATGATCCAAGATTGCGGATAGGTAATATATGCATGACGTCATTTTATGACGTCACCGGTGTTGCTATGGGCAACATAAGACTTAGTACATCCTAATATTCTGTCATAAACACGTTTGGTAAAGTTATGTCGTATACTGTTTAGTTTACAGGGAATAACCTATCTAGACGGTTTTGGCCAATGAAATCACATTAATGACGTCATAATAACGTCATATTACGTCACAACGACATTAAAATTGTACATATGATAAATTTTTACTAGTACACCATACTCTAAAAATTTGGTGGTCCTACGATATACCGTTCGCGAGTTCTGAGGGGGGGGGGG